AATTGTACCCTGTCTCACTTAAAAAAAGTTAATATAAAAAATGAGTGGACAATTTTCATTTCTAAAATCTACTAGTTCCCTGGACTTCAATTAAGAAAAGTAACCATGACTGGTAAATAGTCATTTTAGACTTTACTTAATTTCAATAATACAACTTCAATACATAGAAGCAGGTATATTTAATCTCACTTAACATACATCAAAACTGATTAAACAAAAGGGAAATAATTCAGTTATAAGTCTGTCTCATGCAAAGTGTTTGAACTGAGATAAAAGTTCTGTAAAATCCTTCCCTTCACTGTTCCAGCCCTTCCTCATGACACTCACGTTGCACATCGCTGCCATTGTGAGTGCTCAGTGATGCTGTTGATTCCATACTTGTTCTGGAGGTGGAATCATCACCACCGTCCAGTTTACCGTTTTCTGAGATTAGACAATCTCTATTTTCTTGTGCATATGTTTATGCTTTAGATCTAGAATCACATATAAGAAAGATATTTGCCTTGGAAAATGTTTTATCATGAATAAGTTATCCATTCCCAGCTGTATTAGTCTATTGGACAAACACTGTCCTATTACTAAGTACTTAGTTATGAGCATGAGTGTCTTTGTCAGAAGCATTAGCAAAGATGGATGAGTGAGAGACAAAATTGCATGTAATTGTAATCATATCATTTAAACTTAGATTTTTAGAATCACTAAAAGTGTTGAAAAGCAAAAATTACAGTTCCTTCTGATTATGTCCACTGATTTGTGTGTTCAAGGACAATAGAATTCTCTCTTTCTAACTTTTATTGCTATCATCAAGTTGGAGCAAAAAGATAAACTTTAATGACTACTTCAGTCTGAGAGGGATGTTTAATTTTTTTTTTTAAGGTAACAAAACAAAATCCTGGGGCATCAGTGATTCTCTTATACATGTAGGCTATGCAGTGCCAACACAGACCAGGCATTATTATTTTTCATCCCAAGAGAAACAGATTTATAACATCCTACCCACAGCTACAATAGAGCAGAGTTTTAATTAGGCTGAATATCATCGCAACTTGTTCAGGAAGCATAATTCACATTGAGACATTTACAGATGTAAGATAGACTAAACAGAATAAGAAGTTATTCATTATTAGTAAGTAGCTAACGGTAAAAAGAAAAAAAGTTTTTCAAAGTAAATGGGAGCATAGAAATCCTCTTGAGCATATCATTGATAAAGACACAGTAGTTAAAAGCAAGTTTAAAATATGTTCACGCAGACACTTAAGAATTTTCTGATAATATTATCAGGATGATGTAACTAACCATTCCAAGGCAGAAGGGCACATGAAAGAACAGCATGGTACATGCAGAAAATCATCAGAAGAGCAAAATTCTCTTGAAATAAAGGGAAAAATAGATAAATAAGGAAGAGCTAGCCCCAGGGTAAGAGCAGAGACAATTAACCTACCATTACTAAGAAAGGGTTTTCATCGCACCCTAAGTTATATTTTGGAGTGCATAATTATGCTAGTTGGAAATACATAGTTCTCATTCTAAATTGTTAATATAATAATTGTCAGATTATGTCTTTTGTGGTTTTCACAAAATACTGACTTAGAAAATTGTTTCAGGTTTGGGTTGTTTTTCTGGGTCAACTGCTGTCAGCATTTGTAGACATAAAGGGTCTTCATTTGATACAAAGCACACTATGCAGAGTATTGCTTCTGTCCAGGTGTATTATTCCTTGTGCACTGTCTCTTACATCTTATTAGACTTACACAGATCTATTTACATTTTAAATTATCCATTTCAGTCTTACAAAATCATATTTCAGGTTATATTTTTCATCCTGTATAATTTTAAAGGTGACAAAGTGTTCTGTCTTTGTTCCTATCCTTTTCTCTCCTACACATAATTATTTTCTTGGAAAATACCGGTAAATGCATTTTGCACTGCTATTCAGTATTTGGCAGTTGAAGGGATCTTCTGCCCGGTATCATATAAAGCTGATGAATAACCCTATAACCTTTGTCTCTGTTTATCAAGGAGTATTAGGACAAAATCGGTGACTAGTTATTTTTAACATTTTACTTCACCAGTGGGTACAGCAAGATAAAAGTTCTTAACTTCTATTAGTTGATATATTTGCATGATAAATATTGAAAATATGTCATTAAATGATCTAGATTTCAGAGGTATAGTGTGACTTCTTCTTTCATAGAGATGTAGTGATAAATCTGCACATGCTTTTGAAAAATAATAATTGAAATTACATAATAATGAGAATTTTGGTTCTGACTATATACTCCATAGATTTGAGCAGCAATAGTCATCTATTTATACATAGGGTACTTATGAGAGAGAACATAATATCAATAAAAAAGAGAGGGTAGCAGAAATAATGTATATTTCTCTTCCTCTCCCCACCTATGGTAGAAAATGCTCAAATAAATAATTCATTGTTCTCTAAGAAGATTAATCTTAGAGAAACAACTTTAGGAAAGACAACTTTCTCAGTTTGGTTTCTGGTATGCTGTGTAGGTACTTCAGTCTCTTTTTTCTCAGAAGTATGGTATTTACCAATTTCTTAAAACCGTAACTTTCATGGGGAGTTCATTAACGGTGATCAAATATTGGAAAAATATATACAGTCATTTTGCTGAGAATGTGTTATGGTCATTCTAGTTTCCACTATCTTCAAATATTCTTTATCCACAAGTTTCATTTTAAAGTGTAATTATGGCCAGAACAGTGACGATGTAAGAACATGACATCTACAGTCTACATTTATTCTCCAGTACTGACATCCCTACTTACTTTTTCTCAGTTTGCAAGTCAAAACAATATTTTCTTTCTGTGAAGATAGCAGTTTTAACTGTTGTATAAATATCACACTGTCTATATTTCTCACATTTTGTCTCTGTAGTGTTTGAATGGATGACACTTCTTTTTATATAGTAGTGAGAAAAAGGCTGAAAATCATGAGAAAGGTTTGAATAAGAGAATATTAATTAATGGTGTTGTCCATGCTTTCTATTAATAAAATAATAAAGTATTTAAACAGAAAAGTAAAATACAGTAAGAATGATTTTATTAAATAACATTCATTTAAGCACCTATAATTGGTATGCACATGTTATGCATAATGTATACTTATAAAATATAGTGATGAGTTATATAAAAGTCCATGGTCATTGTTATTTTATTTTTTATCATTTTATAAGCAATAAAGTGAGTAGTTTGATATTAATTTATTGCTACTGCGAAGGCAAACTTGCTCTTCCTTGGATAGATCTATTTTTGTGTTAAACTGTCTTTTTTTTTCTCCCCATCTAAAGATAATGTTGTCCTCTATGCAGCAAGGAAAGAATTATTTTAAGATAATTAATAAAATTAGTTATGCCAATGGCTATCTTTTCCCCAAAATACTGTTTTCTATAAAAAAATGAAATATAATTTGTTGACCCATAGAAGTCCAAACAAAAGTACTATGAATGTATAAAGTCATTGCTCCTCATTATTAAGCTTTACAAGGAAGGTTGGAGGATATGGACTCTGGAGGCAGACTACGTACTTTCAAATGTGGCCATGCCATGTACTTACTGTGTGACCTTAGCAGATGACCTTACTTTAATCAGCTTCTTTCCTCAACTCTAACATAAAGAGATTATCATAATATAACTCCATAGGATTGTTGTGAAAACTTAGTGAGAAGTACTTAGGGCTGTACCTAGTACATGGTGTTATACAAGTGTTGACAACTTTCAAGTATATATGTGTCAAGTATATATGTGTCATGAGGCTAATGCTGTGGTGGTAATCACTTTGTGATATATATGTATCAAATGAACACATTGTACACCTTCAGCTTACACAATGTCATATGTCAATTATATCTCAATAAAACTGGAGAAAAGCACACAGAAATAAGCGTTGTCTAATATTAAAATGCAAGGGAGTGACCTTTTAGTTTTAATTATATATTTTGTTTATATTCATAGTGTGATAGTTATTTGATCTTCAAGTCCTCTCCAACTGTGTCTTATTTTGTTTAAGGAAGAGGTAATCAATTCAATTATAGTTGATTTTATTTTGAAGAACAAAGTCAAAATGATAGATTGAAAAAAAATGGGATCAAGCAGATTACATAAACTATAAAACAAACATATTTTCTACATCATAGGATATAATTGACAGAGTCTGATTTTCCATAATTGTAGAATAAGGATGTACTTTTTAACCTTATCTTTTTGACTTTGTTGTTGTTGGAGAATAAGGAGGGAAGAATGTTCTGTTTAAAATTTTTTGTTTAGCTTTTTATGATGGCTCCCTAACTAAATAAATGTAACAATATGCTTTACAGTATATTTCATGAAATGTTAATCTAAGAGGAGTGCCCTGAAAAATGGATCCTGTGATCAAAAAGCACACTACTCGATGAACAGTTTGAGAAGTTAGTATTGTTTTACTCATCATATTTCTATTTGCAAATCATAAATCTGCTCTGCACAACACTATTTAGAAATGCATGGACTGATGTTCTATGGAACACTCTTTATGAAAGTTTCCTATACACTCTTAGTTTGAAAACTTCTGATCCCGCTCTCATAAACAAAGCTAAGTAGAAACTCCATGAAGTCAGTTATCACTTGTTAAGAGTTAAACTTTTTTGACTAATCACAAACAAATCGTATTATTTTGCAACATTAAATTTGAATAATCTCTTTGCTTTTTCACATTACCTGGTTTGTAAATAACTGAATTTAACTTTTATTTGGCACAACAGCTAGTCAAAGCATCAACCAACATTCTCCTTCTAATTAACAAAGAGTA